GGTAAATTTTGTAAATAATCATTATTTTGACTTTTATGATAAATAAAATATAATAGTCATTTTTCTTGACTTTTTCTTGACTTGGATAGCGATTGATTTTTATTTTGAATATTGAAAACACTTTTGATATCCTCTAGGTGGAACATAAAAGCATAATAATATCAAAATTATAAAAAGAATCTATAATATAATGATGTTGTATGCGATACACTTTTCCGATAAAAAATTTTTTTGCGTGAATATGTATAAATATTATATATATAAAGACACATAAATATATACATATATATACATATAATTATGTATGAAATATGTCCATATATACATATTCATACATCTTTCTTTTGTAAAATTATTTTTTAGTATAATAAAAATAATAATAATGATGCAGAAACATCAAAAATAATTAAAGGGATAATTTTCGCATTTAGAAAAAATTAAGTTCGAAGAAATGTAAAAAAAAATTACTTATACACAATTATGTATAATTTTATATATAAGAATTTTTTTACATTTCTCCAAACTTGATTTTTTTCTAAAACAAATAGTGCGAAAATTATTCTTTTAATTATTTTTAATTTTTTCACATTATTATTATTATTATTATTTCTATTACATTAAAATTACATTTCTCTATTACATTTCTATTACATTTTACAAAGACTTTTTAGAAAGAAAGAAAGATGGATGAACATGTATAAATATATTTCATATATAATTATATATATGTTTATAAATATTTATACATGTTTATGCATGCTTATACATATTTTTACATATTCATGTATAAAAAATTTACTTCTGATAATGATTTTGTAATGAATTCTTGACATTAATGATATTTATATGATTTTTTAGTTAAAAAGTCCCATAAAAATCATTGTTACATCAAGAATTCACAAAATCATAATCGAGAATGTATTTTATCATTATGATTTTTTTCTAAAGTAACTTTAATTTTATCTTATCTTGATTTTATTATCCTAGTTGTCCTAGTTGAGTTAATGCTTTTAATTATTGAATTTGAAGTATTGAAAGTATTAAAACGACAATGCTTTTAATATTAAAAATAAGTACTTAATCATTACCTTCCAGTATCAAATTTTTCTATAAGGATGACACACTTGCTCGGTTAAAATAAGGAAATCTTCTTCCGAAGGGCGGTTGACGAATCCGCGTTAACCACCGAGGAAAGACTGTCCGATCATTCGTACTTGAATGTTTATCTGTCTATCTTCTCTCGGTATCGCCCGACAATTTTATCTTGCGGATAAATGATATCGCGATATAGTTATCGATAATATCCGTAACAAAAGCGCTGATCTAAACGCAAAGATTGCGCCGTTGACGAACGCTCGCAAAATACAGAATTCGACATTTAAAAAAAAAATCAAAATGACTTTATTTTTTGATTCTTAACTTCAAGAAATAGTCAAATTGTGTTCAAACATAAAACTATCTAGATATAATTATTTAATATCTTGTTTAACTCGTGAAGAAGTATAATTAATCGAGTGCAGCTGCAAGAAAACTATACTATAAATCTCTGATTCGAAAATAGTGTAATGCATTTATGCATGCGTGTATACAGGTTGTAAATTCTGAAATATAAGTAAATTATGAAATAATCTTCGCATTATTCTCGCTATAAAAGGTTTCCGCGCGATTGCTGTCGAAGAATTATGCACTGGCAGACAGCGCATTCCAATGACCGGGCAATTCCGCGACGATAATCAATATTTCCTGAATGAAATTCCGAAAACTCTTTTCTTCGCTTTCTCTCTCGACTTTTCGCGGATTAATTAATGTAAATTAATTAATGAGTCTACACCCAAATGTAGAACCACAAATCATGATATCAAGTGTCAAAATGATTCCAAAATGATCATTAAAAGTCATTTTTCAATCATTTTCGATTCATTTTAACGCCATTTTAACATTATCGTGATTTGTTGTTCTGCTTGAATATGTACTCTCTTTCTGTCTACTACGATTAATTTTGTAAAACGAATCATACGTTCCATTTGCGTCATGTATATCCCATTTGCGTTGTATTTTTATTCCTGGATCTCACGCGACATACAATATTTATTGCTAGAGGAAAGTTTTCGGCATTTATTATACTGATAATGGTTAAATAATTAGGATTTTCATAATTATGATTATTATAATGTTAGTAGTAATACAATATAAAAATATATTTACATATAAAATATTTTTATTATTTATAAAAATAATTACATTATTACTAATATAACTAACAAAACTAAATTTTATAGTTCTATTATTACTCTCAAAAATTATAAAATTATAGTAGTGCAGAACAATCACATATATATATATTTTTTTTATATAAAACTGTAAATACAATTATTATTATTATTACTAACTATACTATAACTATACTATAACTATAACTATAATAATATTACAATAATACAATAAGACGTTTTTGGTGCCAGAATCATGTATTTTTCTTATAATTCTTCCATAATTATTTTATCAATTCTAATCAATTTATACAATTCTAATCACAAATAGAAAAAAATTTTTTTCAGCGATGATATGCATTGAAAAGGCGAAAGTATATTTTTATGAAAATTATAAATGTAGAAATACGCTCGTCACGCTGCAGATGGACAAGGCTCGTACATTACATGAGAAAAACGCATAACAAAAACATGGAAGACAAAGTCTCGACTTTCATTAGTCTATAAAACGAATGGTCTCGCGTAATTCTTAACCATGATGGTACTGCAAAGTCCCAGGTTGTGCTTAAGAATTAAAGAGATGTTATGTCGCCTATTATTTCTCTCCTGCAGCTTTTCTTACTCAAGAGGACCCGAGATGATCCGGGTTCAAAATGCTCGTGGCGATCCACACTAATTGAACCGTTTAGTATTTATTTACATATTCGGAATTGCGACTGATTAATTTTTTATTTATTTCTCATCGCAATCTCGATCTTCTGCATAATCATATTTCAAATTGTTAATTAGAAAATCTTAATCCTAATTCAGAGAAAAAATTCTATTTTCGATTAAATAGATGTTGCTGCTTCTCAAGTACAAGTCGCAATAATATATTAAGAAAAATTTCTAGCTAAAAATGAACAACCATAAAATTCTGATTTCTTCATTTTCAATCGGAATTCCAATTAATCTAACCAGATTCATCTATCAGAAAATCATGTCAATCAGATTCTTTTTGATTATCCCAGATAGACTGATCTGATATACTAGAAATCCCGGGTTCGATCCCAAGCAGAACTGAAAAATTTTCAATATACTCATAGCTCCTCTCGCAATGGCAAACCATCGAGTAGTATACTTGCCCAGAAAACTTACCTACCAAAAATTGCCATTCGAAATTGGTATTTAAATTGTAGGTCCCCATATATATATTGTACGATCAATGTGCGCGCAAAAGTAATGAAAGAGAGGCGCCTACGCGCTGAAATAGCATTTGAAGAAAAAAACAGATAGACTAGAATTAAGATTCAACCAGAAAATTTCAATTTCAACAAGAATTCCAACCAGACTCCCTAAGTAGAACAACAAGTCATTATGATATAAAAATGATATCAAAATGACTCCAAAATGATCATTTTTCAATCATTTTCATTTTAATGTGACGTGACTGGGTCTGCTTGGGTCTTTTTCCAGCATTATAACGACATCATTATGATCTTATTTATCACTTAAGTTCATTTTTAAATATGAAATAACGTTATGACCACATCCTATGATTCATTATGACTTAATTATGACTCTGTATTCTACCTGGGTTAATCTGAAGCAATAAAAGGTTTGCTATATTTTATGAAGCTTCAGCTACACTGAGAAAAATAGTTTGATTGGATTAAACAATAATTCTAGTGGAAAATGAACGAATAAGAATTTTCTGATTAAATCTACTAGAATTCTAGTAGATTTATTTCTAATCGAAATAAGAAAACTAGAATTCTGATTGATATAATTATTCTGGTAAAAATAAGAATTCTAATAGATTTTCCTAGGAATTATATATACCAGAATTTCAACTATCTTAATTAGAATTCTAATAAATTTAATCAGAAAATCTGATTCTCCCGTCCATTTTCAACATATACTGAAATTGTCATTTTCAGTATATTATTAGAAAAGTTAAAAATTCATATTGTCACCTATTTAAAAAGTAGTTTATTTAAAAGATTGGTAAATAGAAATATTAATTAAATTTGCTAAATAAGTAGCATGGAAGATTACGCAAGGTAAGTCTTATGCGTCATCTACAATACGCGGAGTAAACTTGATGTAAGAAGTAAGAGTAATAAATTGACCAATTACAGTCGATTATTCGTCTCACATTCGACTGTGACTGGTCAATTTCTTACAATTCTTATATTAAGTTTACTCCGCAGATAACGTATTATTGTGAAAAACAATCTTTATAAAATATCTTGTGTTTAATTTTATTTTTCACGCTCTTTATTTAACAAATTTGATTTATACATAAAGCCGTTTTCATTATAGAAAAATATTAAGGACAGCAAAATACTTTTTGCACAAAGGCGCCGTATACGTCAATGACAGCCCTGGAAGGCGGGGTTCGCATCCCAAAGGATCGGAAAACATTCCTCGAGTCATCCAGTTCGAGAAAATAAGTGATGAAAAGGAGCCATTGAAATTTTCAGTCTGGTATCTGAATTTTCACAAACAGAAAAAATCATCAGAATGACATCAAAATGCTCCAAAACGCTGATTAAAAATGTATACTTTTCGATCAGTCACGATTCATTTTGATATTATTTTGACGTTTATAATGTGACTCGTCGTTCTGCTTGAATTAATCCTCTCACGGATTGGATTTCCGCACCCCATCTGTCTTTTACTTGTTGCTGCTACTGATGATGCTGTTGCTGTTGCCGCCGCTGCCGCCACCGACAGCAATGAATTCCATGCGCGATTCTATCGATCCGTCGGCCTATATAAAAGCAGCCGCCATTGACGGTTCTCCAGGTCGTGAAAGAGCAGGTCGGGATTTGCATGCACACTCGGAGCATCGTCGACAACGTTACGACGTAGAAGAGAAGAAAAGAGAGAAAAAGGGAAGAACTGCACATTAGCCTGTTTATCTTGAAGAGTGTCACGTGGATGAGAGATTAAATTAATCAGGTACATCGTGCCTCTCCGCATGTCATTACGTATTATCCACCAGTTTGTCAAATTCTGTTAATTAAGTTAAGTTAGCTTTGTTTCCTACGCCGTGTTGATTAGAATCTCGGCGTCCACATAATCAATTTGGTCTCTACTTTGATTTCTGCAACTTGCTTCTCATCCAGTTGCGACATATGTCAAGTAAAAAAATACAGAAAAGTCATAATAATATTATAAAGATATCATCATGATCATGTTTGTCATTTACATAAGTTTTTTAACTATTTAATGATGACGTCATGATGACGTCCTGTGATATCATTACAACTTTATGATAACTCTGTCCCAAAGAATTCATAGAAGTCAACAAAAAAAAAACAAAATGACTTTTTATTCTTAACGTTAATAAACAATCAAATTTTGTAACAAAAAAATCATCATTTTGATTTTCATGACATCGAAATAAAGTCATTTTGAGTTGATGTATAATTCTTGGGACCCAAACAGAACAAGTTATTATGATATCAAAATGATGTCAAAATGATCATTCAAAGTCATTTCCGATTCATTTTAATGTCATTTTGATGATTAGTTGTTGTTCTACTTGGGTTCACCTGGAATCCCAAGCAAAACAACATGTTATTATAACAACAAAATAAGTTATTATAACAATAAAATAAATAATCGAATCAAAAAATAATTTTTAATAATCATTTTAGAACCATTTTGATGTCATAATAATTTTTTAATCTATTTGCGACAATCCACCAGATTTTTAATTAATAATAATGTAAATTATTGTGTTCTGTAATTGTAAATCTCACCTGCGACACATAGCCGCATGTAGAATCGTCCTGTCGCAGTCAGACCGACACGTCGTAATTCACTCCGATTCCGGAACCGGATCCCGGATTCGTTTACAAGAATTTACAAAGTAAGATATCAACAATCAAGGTCGTTGTTCGCCGATTACAAAACGTACGCTGGCAAACACGTGCAGTAAGCACACGAAATTCAATCGAGTTTCACGTTACAACCATCTGGTAACTTGATTCCCTTTTGTTTAAGACGCCAGTTTTCGTTAATGTCAGTTTTTGTCAACAAAATAAAAACATCGTTCTTGCAAATTTGAAAAATTTACAAGCGTTACGATTATGTTATAATTTATGTTTATTTCTTTACGAAACGTTTCTTTATGTTTCTTTATGTTTATCGATCCTGAAGGAAAGGACGTTTGCTGCGCAATGTAATTTGTATTCAATTTATGCCCCATTTATCGTCTTATTACAATATTCTTATTCAACTCGTTTTATTTAATTTTATTCTGACTTTTAATTACAAGATATATGAGAGAACTATTCTTTTACAATTTCCTTTCTTCCTTTTTAATTACTTTTTATAATCTAACTGTTACTTTCTATTCAATTTTAAATTCAATGAGTTTTGATATTAAGTTCAATGAGTTTTTTTCTATGAATATCGGATTTTCACGAAGGGCTATTCCGATCTCTGGACTTGTCTTGACGTTACATCATAGATTTCCTCGATACGTCTTCATCCGCGCGAAGGACTTCGTTACCCTATTAACAAAATCGATATTAGCTCGATACACAGTATGCAAAATAGATGTCAATATATCTATATATATTTATTACGATATAGAATACAAGCATCTGACGGCATCGAGCGTAAAGTCGAATCGAGGAGCTTATTTTTTTTATTCACTCTAACAGCGAATTTGATTCAGTGCGCACTGATGTATGTTATACATTAAAGCCACTGTACACAAATTGATGTAAATATATGTATTTATTATAAACACTGAAATTGGTTAAGCAGTGAAATACTCAATACATTTTATTATGCTGTTAGGTAAAATATGTAATACCATGATTCAAAATCCATGGTGTTGAATCCACACCCTCTGCGTTGGTATTTATATTAATACCAACAGGGTGGGAATTTTATTTAAAATACTTATGATGATAAAAAATCCACATTCTTTTAGGATGTTTAGATAGTATTGAAAAAAATACTTTATAATCGAAATATTTGCATTTCACTTTTACATTCAGGATAAATCAGTGTATAACGGCTTTAATATGCAGTGTGTACTAGTGCATCCAATAAAAGTCTCATGAGACTAACAGGGTGTGGACATCGTGGATTTTGAATCATGATATTATATGTATAAATTCATATTATGGTAGATCGGACGTGTTTCGTCTCGTTTCGGATGTTACGTCACCTCGATTATATTTTTAAAAAGCATGGCTGGCTTGAACTATGCATTTGCATTGCACAATTTATAGTCCCTTCATTTGTTTGAACGCGCGTCGTAGTCGCAGACGCCCAGTGCCTGAAGGGGCGCTTTGTCATTTCCGTTTTGATTGCATCATCCTTTTGTTAGATCTGAAGTGGCCGCTGCATTTCCAAGCAGAAGAATAAATCATTATGATATCAAAATAATGTCAAAATGACTCTAAAATGATCATTAAAAGTCATTTTTCTCATCATTTCCGATTCATTTTAATGTCATTTTGACATTATCGTGATTTGTTCTGCTTGAGTTTCATCTCTATTACACAAATTATCCAATTTCGAAGATTATCATGGTAATATCAACCGATTAGGGATCAATAAAATGAGAAAAAGAAATGCGTTCAATCAAATTCGCCATAAGAAATATGAATGTATATTTGGTATCATGCGGAACCCATATGTTCATAATCCCCCATGCCTTATCGTGTTGCTGTTGACATAATCATAATGTGAATTATACATATAATACTATTCAAAAAAAATCCATGGTGTCGAATCCACACCCTATTGGTATTTATACTAACATGGTGAGAATTATATTTAAAACACTTATGATGATAAATCCACATTCATATTTTTTAGAATGTTTAGATAGTATTGAAAAAAAAATTATAATAAATTTTCCGAAATTTATAAAGATGATATGTAAGATCACTAAGATATGGTTTTCGTTAATGAAAAAATTAAAGGTACAATCTCCCTTCCCATTATTATCCAACATTGATTATAAGATTGAAGACAGATTAATACAGCATTAAATACAGAAAATCGACTGACGCAGAGAAATATAAAATTTAAAAAATTAAAAAATTTTTTTTGAAAAAAATGAACTTGTCGATTGTAGTGAGACATTACTTGATAATCGAAATTGTTATTAATAAATTGACATACTTTTCTAATTTTTTAAATCCATATCTTATATTATTATACATAATTGATTTTAAAAATTTTTAATATTAAATTAATAATAATAATATACTTTCTGTACATCTCTATTATTTATACAATATTTTGTTTTACAAATGACAAATTTGTTTTCTCAAATTCTTTTTTTGTAATTCATATTCTTTTATACAAAATAATCTTTTTACTAAAATGTTATGTTAATCTGTGTATACTTTTAAGTTATGTGTTAAATACAAAAAAAAAGTGTCAAATGAGAGAAAAAAAGATAACATACATGTGTTTCCAATTTTTTTCTCAATGTTTCTTTCGCGCATTAAACACAATTACGTTTCTGCTGACTAGCACAATGGCATTGCCACGATGGATCTTGCCGCTGTTGATTCTGGGAACCGGCGCGATCACGCTGGTTCCCGCGGCTCGACAATTCCATGATGAGCTCCTCAGGAACAATCTGCGGAAGCAGAAAAGATCCCTGGACGAGACGGATTCGCCGGAGTATTACAACGACCTGCACTCATTTAAATACCATGATGGTAACAATATTCGGAAGTTCGACCGCTATTACGACGGGGACACTGAGGAGATTGAGTTCCTACCTAGCGGTAAGATTTCGAGGAACAATTTCTTTTTTAGACTCCGAGAAGGAGTGAGGAAGAATAAACTTTCGGTATACGTATATAAATTTCGTATTAGATCTCTGTATTATATTGGACTTTTCTGTCGTATTGTATATCGTATTGAATATGTATTGTAAAATAGGGCTGTGCGATGAAGAACTCAGTTTCGTACTCGGATTGTAAAATCGATTTAAATAATCGTTATACAGAACGTATATTTCGGTACGTAACTCGATTGAAATAATCGTTACATTGAAACAATTGATTTGATATTGTTACTCAATTCACGATATTCTGAAAAATGAATGATCTAGAATCGCATATATTCGTATCATATTGAATAAGGTGAGTTGCAAGATTAATACGCGATTAATATTCGATTTAAGAAGATTTTATCGTGTTTGCATTTCATCGTATTACATTTTAATATTACATATAATTCTTATGTATGTTGCTAACATTTTTTTATTATTAAAGAAATAATTAAATTAATAATTAATCGGATTCTATGTAATTATAAAAGAACGTTAATAATACGTATAATAATTATAATGTAAAAAACTTTAGGCTCTTCTAACATAATAAATTGTCTGCTCCAATCACGATAAAACTTCTTAAATCGAATATTAATCTTGCGATTAATACGTCTTATTCAATACGATACGAATGTATGCGATTCTAGAGCATTCATTTTTCAGAATATCGTGAATTGAGTAACAATATCAAATTAGTTGTTTCAATGTAACGATTACTTCAACCGAGTTACGATATCGAAATATGTTGTTCTGTATGACGATTACTTGAATCGATTACGAATTGAGTTCGAAACCGAGTTCTTCATCGCACAGCCCTATTGTAAAGAAGAAATTTACTATAAACAATTGTGATAATGCATAAGTGTCTGCATAAAGGCAATCATAAATAAGTTTAATACAATGATTTACGTGCTGCCACTTGCTGTAAAAGTTAAATTTGATTTAACTTTACGCTTATAGCATAAGTTACATGCATCCGATCATTACAAAAGCATTGAAATCATTGTACAAAACTTACTGATTATATGGACATAAGTTAATATTTACGGCTTGCTACTAAATGCTACTTAACAGTTCTGATAAAAAGATGAGCTTTATGAATAAAAAAAAATTATTGGTTACATCAAAATAAATTTTTGGGGGATGTAAAGAGGTATTCTCATATTAATACTAGCTAATTAATCACTTATTTTGAGTATTGTAACCCAAACAGAACAACAAGTCATTATGATATCAAAATGATGTCAAAATGATCCCAAAATGATTATTAAAAGTTCATTTTTCATCATTTCCGATTCATTTTAATATCGTTTAGACGTTATGGTGACTTGTTCTTCTGCTTGGGAAGTATTGTTAATAATATTTTTAATACTAAAAATAATTAATTAGTATTAGTATTAAATTTTTATAAGAATTGATCGATCGATTAAGTTAAATTAAATTATGTTCTAATCGCCAATCCGAAGAAAGTAGTTTCGAAAAAAAGTGTTTAAATTTTTTGAAGAATTTTCATGATACTTGTAGCTGAAATATCCAACATTGAACACTTAATCTCTCAAAGAGAACAACAAAGTCACGATACTTGGTGATACGATACTTGTTGTTCTATTTGGGCTAAACTATAAAGTGTGCCTTCCCCTCCTTCAAAAAGGTCTTGTTAAATTGTTTTCTTCAAAGTTGATTTCTTTGATCTGTTACAGTAAATAGTTTCCCCCTTAATTATCAATTATTTTTATCGTAATTTTAGACAACGGTCAACTGGAAACAGTAGGAGAGGGTCTCCAGGGCATGAACAATAAGCTACTCGAAAGAGCACTGCTCGATTATTTGGAGACTCTACCTGAGCAGGTGAACTAATCAATTCGTTAGTGCCGAGTGTTCTACCTTCGGATAAATTATGTAATTTAGTTAATGGAATAAAAGAGCGAGAGAGAGAGAGAGAGAGAGAGAGAGAGAGAGAGAGAGAGAGAGAGAGAGAGAGAGAGAGAGAG